AACCAGATGTGATGCCACATGACTATAACTCCTGGCATTCTGGGAGGCTGAGGCAGGAAGATCATAAGTTACAACCATTCTGAGAAACTCAGCAAAACCCTCTATCAAAATAAAGAGAAGGGCTCAATGCAAAGGCCTGGAGTTCAACCCCGGTATCAAGACAACAACAACAACAAAAGTCAGTATGATCATGACTGTATGAAAGTTATTCAGAGAGTCTACAAAAGTATGTCCAAATATTGTAGCAGTTGTCTTTGGTGACGAAATAATAGATTACTTCTTTCTTTATTCACTTTGTTTCATTTTCCAAATATTCCTGTGAGCACAAGTAACTTTATTCATTATCAAACAAACTATTAAGTAAAATACGTTCAGATAGAACTAACTATAAGGTCGTTTTCATGTTAATTTGAAACAAAATGATAGTCTTCATCTAGTGGTGACTGGAAGAGATATTTGAACATTATTCTGTCTGAATTATCCTGTGTTATTTGGCTTTAGCATTATTCAGTTTTTCTTTATCACTTATTCTTTGTCCGCAGAGTGACTGAAATTTTCTTCCTTCTTTTTGGCATTCCCAGCTATTGCCTATGGTCTCCCACCTGTAGGATACGGAGCAGCCCCTGTGGGATATGGAGCCCCACCTGCTGGCTACGGAGCCCCGCCTCCCGGTTACGGAGCCCCGCCTCCCAGTTACGGAGCCCCGCCTCCTGGTTATGGAGCCCCGCCTCCCAGTTACGGAGCCCCGCCTCCCAGCTATGGAACCCCGCCAGGGGCATACGGAGGCCCGCCTCCCAGATACGAAACCCCGCCCCCGAGATACGGAGCTCAACCTGGAGGACCCAAGTCCCCACCTCCCAGATACGAGGCCCCGCCGAATGGATTTAGAGCCCCCACTTCTGGACGGGAAACCCCACCTTCCGGGTCTGGGGTTGGGCGTCCTTCTGTGGCAGCCCAGAGTCCTGGATATGGGGCTTCTTCATCTTCTCAGGCCCATTCTTCCAACATGTAAACCTTGAAGATTCACCAAGCAAAATAGCGCCCTAAAATTGAAGTCAAGCTAAAGAGGCCTTAGGTATATGATCACAGGCTGGGCGCAGGTAGTTGCCTCTCCCTGCAGAAGGGCCACTATCGAGGAGGTGCTAATTAGCCTAGATTTTTATTTTATTTTATTTTTATTTATTTATTTTTGGCGGAACCGGGGATTGAACTCAGGCCCTTGCACTTGCCAGGGAAGCGCTTATTCCACTGAGCCATCTCCTCGGCCCCAAGCCTAGATTTTTAAAAGCGGAGCCAGTTCTTTATTAGCTGGCCTGAAGGAGGAGTCCACTATGGGGGCTAATTCCCCAATAATATAGTTAACAATTGGGCTGTTTTTAAAAATACCTTGAATGGGGGCTGGTGAGATGGCTCAGTGGTCTAAGGCACCTACTTGGAGCAAGCTTAGCAAAGCACAGGGACCATGGTTCAATCCCCCAGCACCACATGCCAGCCAGCCCCGCCCCCTGGTGGGCTGAGCTGGCCACACACACACACATAAATAAAAAAAATAAAAATAAAAAAAAATAAAAATACCTTGAATGAGTTTAGGTAAAACTTGCTGCCTTTCTCATCTCTATTCAAGAATCTTAATGTCAGGGGCTGGAGAGATGGCTCAGTGGAATAAGCACTTCCCTGGCAAGTGCAAGGGCCTGAGTTCAATCCCTGGTTCCACACACACACACACAAAGAATCGTAATGTTTTGTTACCTAGGCCCTAATGTGTGTACTAAAAATACCACATTGAACAGTTTTCACAACCTTCTTTACGTTAGTGAAAAGGTGGGACAACCTACATTTCCAATCGTGAGAATTTTATAAATTATGATGAAACCCAATGGCATATTCCCTACATGTTAAAATGATGTCCAGTAGTAGAGAAAGCAGCCTTTGGAAGACTAAAAAGAACAGAGTAATAAAGGAAACAGTATCAAATTCAACAAGGTGTACCAAAATTTAAAACTGCTGTATGAAAAAAATTTTGATGGGTAATGACTAGGAGAAAATAATTTCCAACATGTATATTAACAAATTTATAATCAAAACATTTGAAAAAAATACAAAACACCCAAAAGAAAAAAAATGGACAAAAGATATGAATTACCAGTCAACTGAGGAAATAACATGGCTGGAAAATATTTGTAAAGGTATCAGCTTGACTAATATTAGGGAAATGTGAACCAAAAGAAGAAATCGACTTCATCTGCAAAGGCCTACAGATATTAAAGTTCTTGATACAGCAGTTTCATATCTCAGCATCTACCTCTGAGAAATACTTGGGCGCATGCACACAAGAATGCACTTGGGAAGATTTCCTGGGATTCATTATTTCTAACAGTACAGAATTAGAAATAACTGTCGAGCAGTTATTTGTGATCCCAGCACTCAGGAGGCTGAGGCAGGAGGATTAATGCAAGTTTGGAGTACAGTCTGGGCTATCATGAGTTCAAGTCCAGCCTGAGTGTGATCCTATTTCTAAGAACGAACAACAAAAAACTTAATGTCAGCTACTAGGAAATGTATAAACTGGTGCCTTCATGGTACTATGCAAAAAATTCTCAGACTTAAATGAGAAAAAAAAAAGTTATAGGATAGTCTGATGATTTTCAGCCTCCTCAGAGTGAACTATTTTTACAATATGTTATTTTATTTTATTTTTTGCTGAACTGGGGATTGAATTCAGGCCCTTGCACTTGCCAGGGAAGCACTTATTCCACTGAGCCACCTCCCTGGCCCCGTAACATGTTATTTTAAAATGTTATTTTTGTAACAGATTTGTAAAAACTTTTATAATGTATGTATCACTTTTTAGCTCTTTGACTAAAATTAAGTGGAAATATTTTATAATTTGTCCTTCACTTCAATGAAACTTGTTTATAGTTGCAAGTTATTCCCTATCATTTCAACAAAAACCAGTATTCCACAAATGTAATATGAAGAGAAAGTAAAAGGAGTTCATAGTAAAACTTTAGGTACTTTAATATACAACAGAGTCTCCCCTACAAGATGACACAGCAGTGGAGCCGCCACTGGGACAAATGCCAGAAACGTCGACTGATACGAACGTGCTGTCTCGGTGACTTGAATACCACGCTGTTGGCGATCTTGTTTTCCAAAAATACTAAACAATCTTTGAATAGTTTTTTAAAAAAGAAAGTTGAGTTTTCCCTTCATTTACACAGTGGTTCAATTCCGGAAGCCGTATGTAAATATATCAGAATCCCGTACACAGGGTTAGGTTCTGAGCTCGAGGGAGAAGAAGCGTGTGTCCCGCCTACAGCAGTGGCCAAGGGAACCACTCCAAGGGCAGGAAGGGCAGTACAGGACAACATGAGGAGGGACGGCCCGTGCCTTTCGGGATGTCCAGAGCCTTTGACCTGTCACCCCTTAAAGGTCGCTGGTGACATCCAATTGTGATGGCCCCACCTCCCCCACACTCATTTCCTAGTTGCCCTCGCAGAACAGTAGCACCCTTGCTGTGGGCCACCATTCTAAGCTCCTCCAGAGTACAGTCTTTCTTTCTTTCTCTTTCTTTCTTTCTTTCTTTCTTTCTTTCTTTCTTTCTTTCTTTCTTTCTTTCTTTCTTCCTTCCTTCCTTCCTTCCTTCCTTCCTTCCTTCCTTCTTTCCTTCCTTCCTTTCTTTTTTGTGGGACCAGGGATCAAACTCAGGACCTTGTACTTGCCAGGCAAGCACTTATTCCACTGAGCTATCTCCCCGGCCCAAGAATACAGTTTTTCAATTAAATCATTTAACGTTTTTATAAATCTTTAAGAACTAGTCAGAAATACTAATAGTGAGTACCTAACACCCTATGACATAGTTGTACATAACTTTTTTCAATGCCTGTTTTAAGGTACTTGAGGGGCTTCCCCCCCCCCACGTTGTTGCTATTACAAACAACTTTGTGCTTAACTTCTTGGCTATAGAGGTTTAACTTTTGGGGGTTATTTATTCCCAACAGGTTAGAGTCATCGGTTGACCCTTGATGGAACGAGCAAGTGACCAGTGCTCCCGTGCCAAGGACGGCTTTCTCAAGGAGGCTAGGTACGGTGTGACCGGGGCAGTGTGCAAAGGGTCATAGGTCGAGTCTGTTTGGAAAAGCCTGAGAAACTGGTTTCCTTACAGGGTGACCTCTCAGACCTAGCTACTCTCCTTGTGGCCTGGCCTGAAGTCTTAGTGATGACTCCTAAGTAAAGGGCACTTGCGTCAGATGCAAGGTGATGGGCCTGAGAGGGGCCCCTTATTAACCATTAGCTCATGCCAAGCAGCCTTCCTGATGCTTCATGTGCGTAGTGCAGCAAAGGGGATGCGTGCCTGCCAGTCCTAGGGCAGACGCCGGGACTGGGGGGGGCAGACGCCGGGACTGGGGGGG